AATTGCTCGGGGCATTAGGTATCTTCATGAGGATTCTCGTCTTAAAATTATTCATAGGGACCTTAAAGCAAGCAATATTTTGTTGGATGGTGAAATGAACCCAAAGATTTCTGATTTTGGCATGGCAAGAATTTTTGGTGGAAATCAAAATGAAGCAAACACAAAGAGAGTCGTGGGAACATAGTAAGTTAATGTACTAATAATCAGTATCCACCATATCCAAATAGAGTAGTTTTATTATTGTTATTATTATTATTATTATTGTTCATCTTATAAACAAAAAAATCATATAATGCTAAACATTTCAATTATGGTATTGTGAAATTTACATAGTGGATACATGGCTCCGGAGTATGCTATGGAAGGACTATTTTCAGTCAAATCTGATATATTCAGCTTTGGAGTCCTATTACTAGAGATCATAAGCGGGAAAAAGAACAATGGATCTTATTTCTATGAACGCTGCGAAAGCCTTCTAACTTTTGTGAGTTTCTATCCAACCTTTTTTCTGTCTTCAAACAAATACTTGATTAATAAAATGGTATGATGAAATTGTAGGCATGGAAATTATGGTCTGAAGGCCAAGGAATGCAGCTGATAGATCCACAACTGGTGCAGTCATGCGTGGAGTCTGAAGTGCTTAAGTGCATTCATATTGGTCTGCTGTGTGTGCAAAAAGATCCAGTGGACAGACCCACCATGTCATCTGTGATATTAATGTTGGGCAATAAGACCATAACTCTTCCTAAACCAACAGAACCTGCATTTTTTGTCGGACGAGTTGCTGCAGAACCAGCTTTACCCTCTGCAGACTACATCATCTGTTCTGTCAATGAGGTAACACTTTCAAACGTGTCACCTCGTTGATTGTTTGTGTTTCTTCTGATATTTTCCAGCTTCCTAGCTTTGGACATGTATATAATGTATTACAGCACAACATCAAATAAAGCTATTTTCTTCTTCACTTGGTCCATCCAGATTGATATTTACTGAAGAAAATTCCAACTTCATTATGACATTTCAAGAATCCTTGAGGATTAACACCAATGCGACTCTAATCTTGACTTTTATAGCACATGAAACAGCCAACTTATGCCTGCATTTGTAATCCAGAGGGACATTTCATCAAATACTTTCAACCAAGCCTCTCTTCGTTTGCCTCTAATAGTGGTTGTTGTTGAGAGCTTCTCTCTTTCCTTTAACTACTTCAAACGATGAAAAACAGTGATTTTCATATTGATAGGATTAATGTTTTTTCCTTAGAAATTCCCATTAAATCCAACTATGTTCTCATTTTATCGCTATCTAATCTCAGCGTAAGATTGAATCCTATAAGGTAAGAAGAAGAAACGGAATTATTGATTCAGGAAAATACCTTCCTTTTCCATGGTGTTCTTCATGACCCTTGTGTGGCTGTGTTTCCCTTGTTCATTAGCTTCCCCCTGCTTGAGAAGTTGAAGATATTCTAAGAAGATATTCTAATATTAACATAATTTAGAGGGTTTAATTGCGAGAAGTACATGGTTATATACTTTCTGGTTCTGCTGCAGTCGTAGATAACCAGATAGCAAAAATAATGTAAAGCCCCTAGACTTTTCCCACTTTTTCACATAAGCCATCAACGAAAAAAAAGTAGCATGCAAGTCCCTAAATGCCTAAATTCAAGTGAACTAATTCTTGTATTAACGGCAGAATCACATGTGGTCACCTAAGTTAAATAATTATATTTTTTGTACTTGCGTGACAATTCTTTTACATTTAATCATTTATATGCTAATGTGGTGTGAAACTCAGTTCGTTTAGCTCTTAATTTTGTAAATTTTGAGCCATATGTTGTAAGCATTTAAATATAAAAAAATTACTATACCAATATCTAAGTATAAAAGAATTGTCACGTACTGATAAAAAGATAAACAATTTTTTAACTTCTGTAACTGATTTTGTGGTTAACAATAACTAATTTATTCAAATTTAAGTGTTTAGGAGATTTTATGTCACTTTTTTTTCTTTAGCTAACTAGATACGACGAATTTTCACTTCCGTCGCCCTCAATTGGTTATAAAAATATATAAAAGAACCTTTTTCTATTCTTTGACAAACAAGTTGGATTGAATTACTTTAAATTCTAAGTTTTACGAGTGGAGTCATTTTAGATTTTGAATTAAAG